AAAAATTTTAATTTATGCTGTGAAAGGTGACAAATAAAATAATGCACATGCAACATAATATAAATGATATAGGAAACTATTGGTGGTTCTTAAAGAGTTAAGTAATGGTTTGTAAACATAAGATTATTTATTTTCAGCTTTTACAATCGTTCCTTTACTTATTGTTACAATCGGCCCCAAGACGCCATTTCAGCTTCATTTGTTAAAAACATTGCTATTTAATTAGCAAAACTAATTCTTTTTTATTGAAATGTTAATTAAGGTGTCCAATTATATATTCGGTTAATAATTTTTATTTGTTTAAACAAAATTACTTTGCTACAATATAATAATCTAATACCAAAAAAAGTACTTACTTAGCGTGAAAATGTCTTTTGTGATGTAACTCTTTCAAAAGTACATAAAAATGGTTGCCAGCAGGGGTGTACATGTATATTTATTATATACACCTTGTGCGCCACCTAGGAACCAAATCTAGAACCCGACACTCGAAATTTTTTCTCTGTTACAATTGTACCCTGTTACAATTGACCTCACTCTCCCCTATACTTCTAAATTCTTTGTTTCAATCTTGTAAAAGCTAGAATGTGTAAAATTTCTCCAAATAAAAAGAGAAATTTAGATAACTTATATTTTATTATTAACTTTCAAAACCTGATGTTTGATTTGATTAAGTTTCCTCATAGTTTTGATCATTTAAAAAATGTGTTTCCATTCAAACATAATTAAAAGCTATAAATATGATAAAACTCTTGGTAGTACTACTTTTAAATACAATGATTTTAGCAAAAATTTAGGGAAAATTAATATATTCAATTATAAATATCGCTGTGAAGATGAGAAATATTTTGAATCTGTTGATAAAGATCATGAACATATTAGTACTGGTAATTTATAGAAAATATAGAACTAAGAAATTTAATGTTAAAAGGCACAAAATTTACCATACATCATTTACCATATATCAATTAATAAAATTCCAAAATACTTTTTTATGTATCTCAATAAATTTAGTTTAAAGAGATCAAATAAATTATCTTTACCTTTAGCTTTGTTAACAGAATGGTTATGATCTGTTTATTATTACTTTAAAATTTTTATTTTTATTAATAAAGAAAATTTAAATAACATTAACAATTCAACAATTTTTCCCCAAAACTGATCAATCAATTAAGCAACTACAAAAGTATTTTGTAATTACCCATAGCTAACAATCACTATGCAATCTTCAGTAAAAAATTCTATCTTGAACTTTTAAATAAGGAATTAAAATTTTACGTTTTGTAATTTTTAAAAAATATTATGTTCCTTAAAAATTTTTACAGGGATGCCAACTGCTCCGCTTTCTGGAATAGTTTTAATAAAAAGGTAGCAAATTATATAGTAAAATTCGTTAGAGAAGGACAGTTACACCTACTTTTTAACAGAGCAACTGGTAGATTAATGCTTTCACGTTGCATTTCATATCATACTTATAAATTTTGATATTTAGTGGTGAAAAATTAACTTAAAAGGAAAAATACTAAACTAAAAGTAACTACCACTACAAAATACTATTTTACAAAGCGGAGCAAGTTGGCATCTCTGAATTTTTATCTTTAAATAAGAGCTTAAAAATTAAAACTAATAATAAGCATTTTCCATATCAGTTCAAATTTCCATAAAATTCCCATTAAATTTAGAACAATTATTAGTGGATCTAACTCTTGTCTAACTAAACCTACTGCCACCATTTTCTCTAACTACTTAAATAGAATTATTACCAATTAAAGTATCAGAAAAATGTATGTAAAACGGACACAGGTGTTCCAACAGCGTCAAAAGCCACCATAATGAGGCACAATACAAAATGTTTTCATACACTGTATACTATTTTCATGATGTATGGGTTAGGGGCCACTGCGTGGCACCCAATTTGTTTTAAAGAAAGAAAGAAAACAGCGTCAAAGGGAAATAACGATTTACACCCTCTTAAGTAAAGAAAAGAGAGAAATAAAATTTAATAAATAATGAAACACTTTTGCTTAGTGATATTTATATGTTCAACACCGGTATAATGATTATACGCAATCAAGAGTAACATTTTCCTTCCGTTTTAATTTGATAATTTAAACGTACTTGACTAGAGGGTAAAATTATATAAAGTGAATTAACATTTAAAAATTTTCACTTGAGTTTCAGTTTTGGCCATTGAATTTTTATTCTTTTTCCTGAACTTATGTAGTTTTAAATTTAATTTTTTATAGGTTACTACGAATAATTAAAATTACGAATAAGTAAGAGAATAAATAAATCAAAATAATGCTTTGTTCGTGTGAATTACATAAACGTGTAATATACTGAATTGCATAATGAGTAACCAGTACTTAAACAGTTGTTCTAACTTCAGTTAAATGTAAGAGAGTGCTCTCCATACTTAAAATTATCATGTCATCATTATCGTAGAATTAAGACGCGTTTGTCATGATGGATGCAGAGAAACGCATATAGAATTCCCATTAAAAGCTATATTGTGTGAAAGCAGAAGTTAAAAATGAGACGCCATTCAACTTATTTAAAAGCAGAAGTCTTAGTTCTATGCAAATATTATTTAAACATGTTAAACCATTTTTTAAATATAAATGGTGTAATATTGATGTTTATAAATATTTTTTACCTCTCTGTACCATTTCTTAAGAAACCTTAGGTAAAATTTTACGAACTTTTATGCTTATTTGCAAGGATAATTTATTGGTGCATTTGGAGAAAAAAAAATTTGAAACTTTTCTAGAGATATAATAGTTATTTTCTTTACATCAGTGTTTCGTAATATTTTAAAATATTGTTTAAGTTATTGCACTTCTTTCTTTATAATTTCAATTTTAATCCTTCATTTATTTATTTGTATTTAATTTATTTCAAAAAGTGAATTATTCGAGATAATATAAAAACTGTATCACTAATAGAGAAATTAAAAAACTAAATTTTCCGATTTGCTGATTTTGCACTCATTATGCAGTTTAGTATACTATAGGGACATGTAATTGTATATATAATACAATTCAAGATACAATTACAAAAAAGGTGAAAATTTAAGTAAAAGATAAGCGATGTAATAAGAATAACATTCCTTCAAAGAGGCGACAACGCCTAGCTGCTAATGTCACAACTGGAAGAGTATTTGAATTCAAACATGAAATACAAAAAAGTTACTCACTTGTTCAGAAAATGGTTTTTTTTTAGTTTGACTTCGTTTTCGTATGAGGTAAGGCATAACTTTTTGAATTTCATGTTTAATTATATATATATATATATATGGGTCATTCTCACGAAACCTGTCATTTTTCAGTNAATATAAATAAATACAAGAAAACACGACGTTTTGTTGTAATTTTTGTAAAAAAAAAAATAAAAAAAAATTTTTTTAGTGCTTCTCACACTATTGTATTAATATATTTTGCTTTGGCTATATTGATACAATATCAGAAAGCACTCTTTTTTATTGATATAATTGTGTTGGCTGATAAAAAGATTATATCCTTTATTTTCCGGATTTTTTGAAAAAACATTTTATCCTTTTTTTTTCCCCAGTTGTTTGTTATTTTTTTTCATTACTATTTTTCTTTCTCCCCCTTTTTTTCATATATCTATAATTTTCATTTGTTTTATCTTCATTTTGAACTAGTCCAAGACTAGTCCACCCCTGTTAATTAGACTGTTTATTATAATTTTAAAAAAATGCTAAAATGCACTTTTGCTTGTAATTTGAGTCTCAGAAAAAATATGTATATAATATATATAAATAAATCAGAGGTAATAATAATTTACGCCAGCAAAAGTTTTAAAGAAAAGGAGAGAAATGAAAGTGAAACTTTAACTTACTGATATTTAGATGTTCAACACCGGCATAATGGATTACACACAGAGGAATAATAAGGAGGCAAGAGAAAGGTAATAGATGCAAAATTTTAACTTACTTATAGTTTTATATGTGACAGAGGATGACTGTTTAGTTTCATCATTTTCAATAAAAAGGTCAGCATCCATTGTTTTGCATTTAAAAATGATATCTCCAGAAAGTGATAGTTGTTACTTATATACCCAACAAAGTAGACCTGACTAGATTCGCAGTCGCGATTTCTGTGCGATCTTACATGAATCATCGGACATGTGATTTCCTTTGACATCACTGGATATTGGACTTGTCTAACCTTGACCAAACCTGCTGGTTTCTTCGAAAATCATTATCTGCACATATTTATCAACTCGAGAATATTGTGTTGGAGAGGAGAATTATTTTTTTAAATTGATCATTAATTGTTGACAATGATGCAAAAAAGAAAGTGAAACTGAAAGTAAAACAGAGAGCAGATTTTTTTTGTTCTTGCAAAATGTAGTGATAAAGAGATAATTTTCTATTCTCCTTATCTGCACTTTTTTTTAAAATTTATTTTAATATAATTTATTGTATTTTTAGAATTTAATTACATATATATATATATATTTATATATATATTTATATATATATTCTTTTCTATAAAGAAAATTATTATCGTCGCATATTTATCAACTCGAGAGTAATGTGTGGAGTATTCTTTTTTAAATTGAACAGTGAAACTGAAAGTAGATTTTTTTTTGTTGCAAGATGTAGTGATGAAGGGATAATTTTCTACTCTCCTAATCTGAACTTTTTTTTAAAGTTATTTTAATTTAATTTATTGTATATTTAATCAATCAGTTGCCAGTATCAGAAACAACAACCATCGTTGGCGTAGCATATGATGGAATGATAGATGATTTATACCAGGACTTGTCACAGAGGGCAGAGAAGTTGCAGGAAGGCCGAAGATGTAGGAAATTAGTGATAGTATTGGTAATATGATTGTAAGATGGAAGATTGCACCATACAGAGGTTCCATTGCATCTTCCGGTCCGGAGATGAATTACATTATTACGAATTAATCAGAGGCACTGCAGTAAAATGCGAACTGAAACTTACATTTACATTTCTTTTTTGAGCAATGTAGATGCTATTTAGTTGATTTCCCGGTTGCACCTCGAGCAGGAAGTGACGAATTGTAATCCAACTATTTTTTCAATGACATTTGCTACTTGTTTATAATTTTAGTGTGATTATTTGAGTATTGATCTAATTATGTCCACCTCCTCTTTTATATATATATATATAAAGAAAAAAGAGTAATTAATGAATACTAATGATTTTTATTTACACTGCAAAAGCTGCAAGTGTACATAGAACCCCTAAAATAAGTTAAAAGTAGAAAGAACAAGAAAAAAATATTTTTATAAAAAGAAGAAAACCAATTTCTCAATAAAATGTTTTTAAATTTTTTTAATCCCTTTTGAAAAAAAAATTTAAAATCTGGAAAATAAAATAAGGAAAAATATAATCTCGTCGTCAGCTCACACGATTATATCCGCAAAAAAAGTTCTTTCTAGAATTGTATTAACATAGCTAAAGCAAAATATGTCAATACAATCGAGTAAAGACTAGCAAACAAATTGAAAACGTAAATAAAGTACGGAACCCGTTATCCGGCAATCAGAAAACCGGAAAACCAAAAACCGGAACGAATTTCGATAAATTTTTCGGCCATTTTTTAAAAAAAAAAATTTTTTTTTCCTCTTAAGATTTAAGGATTTTTCTTCCTTTTTTGAAAGATGTTTACCTTACCATCATTTTGAAAATAATCATTAGTGTATTACTTCATCGTTTTTTCTTCTTTTTAAGATTATTTCCAAATATTATTTTTTTTAGTTGGGTTTAACAATAAAAAAAAACGGCTTTTTGTAGCGATTCAGAAAACCGGAAAAATCAGTTATCCGGAATAGCGATGGTCCCGATTGTTCCGGATAATCGGTTCCCTAGTGTAACACATATTAACCAAAAAGTAACAAATAGAACATATCGAGCAAAAGAGAGAAAATAATGAGTCGATAATAAACACGCGCAAAAGCTGCCGACGCAACTTAAAGCAAATATAATATATGATATACAATAATAATAATAATAATAGTAAAAACTCTTTGTAATTCATCAGCAGCCAATAACATGACACACCTTTGAACGAAGACGTGTTGTGTTTCGTTATAGCAACATGGCGAACAGCAAAAGTTATAGGCCATGTTGCTATTGGCTGGATCCATCACTATTAATAATAATTAAAAAACTTAAACATATTTTTTAAAATTAAAACCAAAAAGTTAAATCCTAAGTCAAAGCAAAACCCAAGTTCATCCAGGTCTACGTACACACATGTCAGAACATCAATAGCCATCTTTCCAAATTATTGGATTGAAGATGGTGCATCATTAATAAATATAAATGCCGATTACGGTTTACACATTACGACACAATCGTTTACGGAAAGAAAGACTTTTTGCTTCCAGCTTTTAAGTATTCGTTTCAGTCTTTAGAACAATAATTACTATTAATATTTTTTATGTCGTACTTTGAGAATTTAATTCTTAGACTAATGCATACTCTCCTGCATTTCCAATTTATATATATATAGTGATAAAGAGATAATTTTCTAT